CCCTTCTCTGCCCCTTTCTTAATATTTTCAACAGTCTAAGCCCTCTTAATGTTTTCTTCCGTCACATTACTATCAACCAAACACTAGGCTTCTACCTTTATCCTTAGCAACCAGCTGATTAGAGCCAAAGGTTACATATTCACTGATCTCCTACTCAGCCCCATAAATCAGATGAGAGGGCAGTATAGTCCCTGTCTCAAGAAACATGGTGTTCTATAATAGAGATGATATATGCATCTAAGCAAGTAATTAAGCTTAAATCTGCGTAAGAAGTGCCAAAAGTGCTAAACTCTCTGAGAGAAAGGGTGAGAATCCCAGAAGTGGTGAAGATGATCAGGTAGGTTTTCGAAAAGGGATGGCTTGAATTTGGTCTTGGAGAAAATGATATTTTAGCAGACAGAGGTAAGGGGAATTAAAAACAGGGAAGAAGCAGCACATCCAGAAATCAGTGAGTGTAGTTTGACAAAGGTATAAACAGGGCAGGTAGGAGGAATGAGGCTGAAGAGGGTTATTAAAATGAATATTAACATGGGGCCTCCCCGGTGGTGCAGCAGGTTGAGCTCAGCACTGCTGTGAAGCTGTCAGTAGCCTCTAAGGCGGTGGTTTGATTCTCGACTGGCCAGGGAGATTCCCACATGGTGCAACAGACCTTTCCTGTCTCACCCGCTACTCCCCTCAGCAGTATATTTCAGTCCTTCTGCCTGTTCTGCTCCCTGCTCTGTCTCTGGTGGATTCTCTCACCCTCCCACCTCCGGCCTGTCCCCCAGTGCTTGTATAAATAAATAATTCTTTAAAAAAATGAATATTAAAATGAAGGAGACTGGATGTAGATGAAATAATTATTGTAACTTACTGTGTGTGCAATGGTGTATTATCAACCTTAATATATTATTTACTATTCCCAACAATTTTGCAAAACAAAAATTATTTTCCCCATTTTACAAAGGAAGAGAGAAATTGAAGTTCACAGAATAATGAAAACTGCCCAAGGTTAGCAGGTATGTCAGTAAATGTCAGAATCAGGATCTCAGTTTGACTTTTTTCCTTCCTTCTACACAGTTTTTATATATTTGAGATGTAAAATGTTACTCACTTTACACAGTTGAGATGACATAAATATATGCTTTTGTTTCCCTTTGTTAATATTCTAGCACGACATATTCCCCATGTTTTTAGAAACGCTTCCCACATAGTATTTTTATTGGTGTTGGCTGCATAAAGCTAGTTTATTTTTTGTAATATGTTTTGTAACATGATCTTGAATATCATAAACAATGCTGTGGGCCTCCCTGGTGGTGCAAGGGGTGAAGTCAGCACTTTATGAAGCTATTGGTAGCCAGGAAGCTGACCACATGGTGGAGCTGACCCACATGGCACAGCATACCTCTCCTGTCTTGCCCGCTGCTCCCCTCAACAGTGTATTTCAGTCAGTTTGCCTGTTCTGCTCCCCACTCTGTCTTTGGTGACTCCTTTCATCCCCTGCCCACACCTCTGGCCAATATCCCAGTTCTTGTATGCATAAATAAATAAAATAAATCTTTAAAATAAATAAATAATGCTGGGCCTCCCTGGTGGTGCAGCGGTTGAGCGCTGGGTTGCGGAGCTGCCTGCAGCCTCTGCAGCGCCGGTTCGATCCCCGGCTGCTCCCCGGCCACCGGGGGAGGGTCCCACATGGCGCGCAGACCTCTCCTGCTGCCTGCTCTGTTCCCCGCTCTGGCTCTGGTGAATTCTCTCACCATCCCGCGCTTCTGACTGTACCCAGTGCTTGTATAGATAAATAAATAAATCTTTAAAATAAATAAATAAATAAATAAATAAATAAACAATGCTGTGGTGACTGTGTTTGTGAATCAATTTATTTATTCTCCCACCAATAGCTGGAGAGAATGCTTATCTTCCCTCACCAATATTGAATTTTCCTAATCTTTGGTAGGAATTAAGTATCATTGTTAATTTTTATTGAATATTTAGTGAAGTCTAACATCTCTCAAGTGTATGTTTGCCATCTGCATATCTTCATCTATGAAGTGCCTATTCAGTTCTTTCTTTATAATTTTGAGTTTCAGTTGAATATATGTCTATATGAGCCCTTGATATATAAAGGGCTATGATACACATAATGATATAGATAACATTTTGTTCTCCTAACTGTTGGAACAATTTGTCTCTTTTGCTGCATTAAGGACCCTTGACCAAGAAACAGGCTTAAGTTCCAAGTCAGTGTGTTGGTTTGACCCTTGTCACTGGAGAGTCACAGTGTGACCAGGGCCTCGGGAGTACTGACCCCTGCTTGAAAGGAATTAGGGAAAAAGAATAAAGGTATACACAGATGATTCATCTGAGGACCTTTTTTTATTTTCCTTTTTCCCAGTGTAAGCATCTCAAAGTGTCTTATGCTAATAAGGAGAATGGAGTGGTAGCTGAAACAGACACAAACACAGAATCTTTCAATTAAAATTATGTTCTCATCAGGTTCATGTTAAATGTAGTGACAATTTCCCAAGGGTATGATGGAGGGGCAATTATAAATAGCCGTGGTAAATTGTTGCACTGAAACAGTCCTCCGGGTGCATTATGGTCCCTGGCTCTCAGCTGTGCTGGATTGGAGGACCTTGGGATTTCCAGGCATATAGTCCCAGGACACCCAGAGAAATGGGGTGAGCCAGAGAATTTTCTAAGCACAGATTTGCATTCCTGACTCTGTCCTGCATGTGAGTAGTTCCTTGCCTATAAGCACCAGAACCAGGAACACTTAAGAAGAGCTGAATAAACAAGGAGACTATTTTCTGTTGCTTCTTGCTACTGTCACCTTATGAAGACTGCCAAAGAAGTTCTGTTTCTGCTTGCTCTCTGGAGTTGAAGAATCAAAATGAAATTCAAAAACTATCATAATACCTTGTGCCCCTTCCACAGAGGTTTACAGCTCCAATCTCCATCTCCCAAGCACATTTAGCATTTCGTTCTTGTATACTAAAATATTCATCATCTCAATATATAAACTTATATACAAATACTAATCACATATTTATAACTTATAACGACGCTGACCTAATACCTGACACAAAACTCATGCATTCCCCATATTACTCCTACCAATCAGGCATAATTTGGTGGCAAGCTACTAAGAGTTCTAAGTAGTGGGTGACACACCATCCATGGGATATGGCCAGATGAACTTTGGCCTAAGTGATAATGCCAGTACTAAGTGATTCCAGCAATAATACCTATGAATCTAAATGAGGAGAAGGCAGTGTCCAGGGAATCCTGATTATTATTTTTAGATTGTTCTTGATGAAGTTCTTGAGGACTTAATGAAGTCTGGAGAAAACCAGGATCAAATATACTCAGGTAGTTAAAGAAAGCTGTGCAAGGTCGCACAGCCACCTTCAACAAGCCATAATTAATGAGAGTACAGCCCCAAAGACATCCTGAATCTCCTCCCCTGAAGAATAACCCTAATGTTGGCAGAGGAATAAAGCAAACATTGCAGAGAGCCTGAAGAGAAGCAGCATGCACATACTTATTGTTTATACGCCAAGTACTTTTGAAGCATGATGAGACAAGCTAGCCATATCTGAAGGCATCTAGTCTCATTTCAGAATTTTCACACTGGACAGGGAGGCAGAGCTGGAATGAAGGTGCCTGGAGACTGGCCCAGAAGTTGGCCTGATCCTGAGATCTGTGACCAGTAAGGGAGCTCCTCGTGGGCAGTCCCCAGTGTACCTTCCCGAGAAGGTACCCCGGGCACAAAATTCCTTATTTTCTATTCTTCCCAGAAGATCCTGGGATAGTACGGGGGAGGAGGGGCTTAGGTGTGGAAGCAGGCTGGGGAAAGGCAGAGCCTGCCAACTTCCGAGCTTACTCTTTTGGCAAGATTCCCACAGGGCCAGAAAAGATAGGGGTGGTGGGGAAACTGTTAAGTCGGAGAATCTCCGACTTGAGCGAGGATTAAAGGCTTCAACTCTGTCTTTTCTGCACTCGAGACCCAGCTGCACCACGCACGGGCTGCTGTGACCACAGCCAAGTTACTGAATCCCTCCGTGTCTCACGTCCCTCCTCTTGCAGCGGTCGGCGTGGACTACCCATGTCAGGGTCACAGTGAGGACGAAACAAAACGCTCCTCGTGAGCTGGCTTGCAGTAATAATTCAACACCTGTTAGATATTCGTGTTCACACACAAGTCCTGTCCCAACTTCTGGGCGAAAGCACACGTCTGTGCTTCCTGCCTTTTCCAAGAAGGAGCTTCCCAACTTAAAACCCGACAATCTGAAGACTCTGCAAACATCCCGTCCGCGCTCTGGGGGCGCCCGCACCGGGGTGGGATGGCCGCGGGCGGCCGGGTCCTCCGCGGAGCGCGCGCAGAGGCGGCACCCGGTGCGCGCGTGCAGGTCCGCACATAGGTGGCTCCTGCGTGTGCGCCGCCGCCCGCGCGGGCGACCGGAGCGGGGCCCGGCTGGGAGCGGGTGGGCGGGGCCCAGCCATTGTTCCGCGGCTGCCGGAGCCCCCACGCTCGGCCGGGAGGGGGGCGGCGCAGCGGCGGCCCCTCTCCTCCCGACGCGCGCCCGCGGCCACGTCTCCCTCCCACGCGGCTCCGGAGCGGGCCGGCGCCGCGGCGCTGGGCGCGGTGGTCGCCCCCGTGGCTTCCTCGCCGCATCCTGTGCAACTTCCCCGGCACCCACCCGCCCGCGAAGTGCGGGGGGCCAGCCCCGGACGGGCACCCACCCCCATCCCGGCCGAGTCCTCTCCCGCTTCCGGAGGGCGAGCGCCCGAGCCCGCCGAGGCCGCGGGGTGCCGGGCAGGGGCCCAGCGGCCGGTCGGAGAGCAGCCGAGAAGCAGCAGGGGAGGGAGGGGGGCGCGGAGCTCGCGGCACAGGGAACAGCAGATTGCGCCGAGCCAATGGCAGCGGCAGGACGAGGTGGCACCAAATTCCCTTCGGCCAATGACGCGCCAGAGTCTGCAGAACCATTAGCATTTCCCCAGGGGCAGGGCAGGGGCAGGGGCTGCGGCGGCCGAGCCGCGGTGCGTCTGCAGCATCCAGTTTTGGCGTCTCCAGCCCCCTGCGCGCCTCGGCTTCTGTCTCCTCCCCTTCCCGCCCATGTGGGGCTCCCGCGGCGAGCCAACTCTGCGCACTTTGCCCCTTGTTGGCAGCGAATAAAAGGGGTCAGAGGAAATACGGGACACCGTCACCCACTGCCAGCCCTAGCCTTTAAATCCCTAGCCCGGGGAGATCCAGGCAGAGCGTGCAGGGTCTGGCCACGGATCCCGAGCGCGAGGCGCTGAGCAAGGTTTCGAGCGCAGCGCAGCTGATCATCGTGCAAAAGCGGACTCCGGAGCCCGGTCCCCGCTCCCTGCCGACTGTCCGAACTCCGCTCCGCAGTCTCAGTCCCGAGAAAGTGATCCCAGCGTCGGAGAGCCCAGATGCCGGCCCACTTGCTGCAAGAGGAGGTGAGCTTGCGAGCCCTGGCCCGCAGACCGCGGGGTGGCCGGCGCTGGGTGGGCTTCTAGGGGACCGCTTGCTGGGGCAAGAGTTGCGAGCTTCGCGGAAGGCATAGCCATCTTTTGCGAGTTGCACTACTGCCTTCAATTTGTTGGGAATATGGATTGCAATTTGGGGACGTGATTTTCTCCAACTTTCGTTTCTTAAGCTTTGATGGAAAATCCGATGGTGTCGGTGCCTTTATGTGTGTGTGCTTGCGGATTTTCCTTTGTGTGTCTTAGGGGTGCGAGTGTTTTACCCTCCTTCCTATTGCCCCTTCACCTTTAGGTTTCACCCCCCTACTCAGTCTATCTGCGCAGTTGCTGGGAACTTTCCTCATCTCGCTTAGGAGGAGCTGGCTCTCAGTTAACCTGGGTTTCGGAGCAGGGTCTGTACTCCACTCCCCCCCAGCCCGAGGCTAGTGGCCCCTGCTACCTCCACGTGTCTTCTCCTCTCTCCTGACTTTCCGCTTCCTGCGCCTTCCAGATCTCTAGCTCCTACACTACCACCACCACCATCACAGCGCCTCCCTCCAGAGTCTTGCAGAATGGAGGAGGCAAGTTGGAGAAAGTTCCACTGTTTTTGGAAGAAGACATTCGCCCTGAAATGAAAGATGACATCTATGACCCAAGCTACAAGGACCAGGAGGGTCCAAAGCCCAAGCTTGAATATGTTTGGAGAAACATCATCCTTATGAGTCTGCTACACCTGGGAGCCCTGATTGGGATCACCATGATCCCGTCCTGCAAGCTCTATACCTGTCTCTGGGGTAAGAGGTTCCTTGTCCTTCTGACCCAGCTCCTCGCCACTCTTTATAAAGCAGGATCCAACATGGAACACAGATACCTCCAGGTCCAAGTTTCCCCAGCCATGTCTTTTTGGTGCCCTGAAATGCTGAGTGGGCTGAGAACAGAATCTAGGGAGATTGGAATGCAGAAGTATCAGTTCTGGGCATCCCTTAGTATGACGATTGGAGAAGGAGTTGACTGTTGGGGAAGGAGCCCTGAGACTGTGTGCTGTGGGCTTTGGAGCGAGTATACCTGGTCCAGAGAATCAGCTTTCCCTGAAAAAGCTTTTCTGTTTGAGCCACTTGTGTGGCTGCATGTCCTGGCAGCCACAAAAGAATCCAGGCTCCTGCCTGGAGGCAGGGGAATGGGGACTAGACCAGTGACTTGAGAGGCTACAGACTGAGCACAGTGGCCAGGAAAAGAAAATGCTCAGGCAGAGAGTAGAAGGGAGCGGTGGCCATCCACACAACTATTTAGCCCTAACCCCTTGGCCTCCCCAGCCTTCTTTGTTACACAGAAAGATGAAGAAGGCGCCTGTGTAAGCCAAGATCCATGACTATGTGGGTCTGTAAGTCCATCTAGATATTAAGAAAGTTACAAATGCACCCAACAAAATGCTCTTGAATGAAATAAGGTTGCAGAGATGTTCCATGTGCCATTCCCCATTTAACCTGTCTGGCCCCTCTCTCCTGGTGCCAAGAAGTTCCTCCTTGCCAGGGACAGCCAGGTCTGGCCAGAAAAGAGAGCCCCTCGTGAGCAGCCGGGCCTTGAGGCTGTCTCGCTGAGGCAGAAAGTTCTCCATTGGTCTCTGAGCTGCCCTCACTCGGTTCTCTCAGGGACCCATGGGGCTGGGCTGACAGCAGGACCTTGCTTCCAGCACATGCATGTGCTTTACGGGCATTGTCACCCCCGCACCGTAAGTTGGAGACGGGAAGCGGGGAACAGGGAGTTTGAAAGACTCAGGGTGTCCAAGTGAGCTCTCTTTGAGGTGGGTGAACCAGAACTCCCTCTCCAGGAATAGTTTTCAGACTCCCAGGGCAGTGTGGAAGAGCTTGCTGGCAGCTGTACTCTCGGGACGGGGAGGAGGGTTAGTGCAAGAGCTGGTAGGCCAAGCTAGCTGGTTCCCCAGGATCTCTTAGGTCTACCGGTGGTGGAATCCAGTCCCTGGGGCTCTATCTTGTGAAATCCACAGTGAAAGGTGACTGAGTAGATCCCCTCTCTGGGGAGCTCAGTGTGTCCGGGTAGAAACGGGTGACAGTTCTTGTTGCGAGTTAGGAAGGCGGCTCCTCAGGTTATGTGTGTGTCATTGCTAGGGCAGGTCATGAGCGAAACATGTTCCTCCACAGAAAGAGTGACTCTGTTCTCTCGCTCCTCTAAGAACACAGCAGAACTTTAATTGCAGCCAGAGGAATCAAGAGCAATATAAGGATCTCCCCAGGAGAGTCCTCTCTCCACCTCTCCCCAATTCAGGAATCCTCACAGGTCGTTTCGTCACCACAAGCCCCATCCAGCCTCCCCAGTCCTCCCTCGTGGGCCTCTTGAAACAGAGTTTGGTCAGATAGCCTCTCCTGGGTCCTCTTCCTTGCCTGTGTTGCCGGGAGCAGAATGCTACCCCCAATCCAAGGCTATGCCTGCTACCTTTGGGTACCCTTCCCAGGTGTGTGCTGTGCCTCTTGGACAAAGAAACATGGCAGGCAGAGACTGGATGGTGTGACTTTTCACTCCTACCCTGAGCTCTGTGATGGAGGACTTTGTTGATGGAATGACTGACTAGATCATGGGAATATCAGAGAACTCTGTCTTAAGGAACAAGAGGAATTGGGGTCTCACCTGAGTTTAGAAGCTTAGCTTTACTTTTTGGCTTTATTCCTAAGGACAGTGTTACCTTAGCAACTGTTGTGATTCCAGCATTTCTCTTGTCTCAGAAGAGCCCTGAGAGTAGGGTAGGGCTCAAGGGATATCTCTAAGACCTAGGGGCAAAATTTTCTAGCGCTAAAGCTTGAGATTTTGTTTAACCATCAATTTGGACATTGATAGAGGATGAATCTTTGATAGGCTGAGAGATGTCTACAAAAGGACTTGGGGGGAGGGGCTCCCTGGTAGCATAGGGGCCTCCCTGGTGGTGTAGGGATTAAATCTCTGCACTATCATACTATCACCCCTGCAGCCTGAGTTCGATTCCCAGTCAGGGAGCTAACCCACATTTGGCACAGCAGACCTCTCCTGTCTCTCCCACTGCTCCCCTCAGCCGTGTATTTAAGTAATTCTGCCTGTTCTGCTCCCCACTCTGTCTTTTTTAAAAAGTTTTATTTATTTATAGAAGAACTGGGGTACAGGTCAGAGGTGCAGGAGGGTGAGAGAATTCACCAGAGACAGAACAGGGAACAGAACAGCCAGACATGGACCAAAGACACTGCTGAGGGGAGCAGCGGGCGAGACAGGAGAGGTCTGCTGCGCCATGTGGGTTTCTCCCTGGCTGGCCAGGAATCGAACACGCTCTGCAGAGGCTGAGGACAGCTTCACAGCGTGGTGCTCAACCCGCTGTGCCACCCACCGGGGAGGCCCTAAATAAATAAATCTTTTAAAGAAAAAGGACACTGGATTATTTTCCCAGTTTTCCTGTTAATACTCGGATCTCAGGTAGTTTCTGAGAACTTGCCAGGGGCATCTGTGGCTCCAAACAACCCTAGTAGCTTCCTTGTTTCTGGCCTGAGTGATTCTGCTCTCCTGCCGAAAGCCAGTTTTCTTTCTCCATGTTGATTTACAGCTCTGGCTCAGGCTGATACTGCCTCTGGGGAGATAGCACCACATGGCTTCAGGCTAGTAAATCACTTGGGGTCCTAATCCTAGCCCAGAAGCCCTATGGACTTAACTTTCTTTGGGATAGACTGCAGCCCCTGGCTCTCTCACAGGAAGAATAGGAGGGGTAGGGGGGAGAGGAGGTGGGGCTATTTAGGAAACTGGTTTCTATGGCCAGAGAACACAGGACAATTTGTTACAATGTGTGGTATCTCCAACTGCAACAAGTTCTGTGACCACTGAGGAGCTATTGTTTCTAGCTGTTTCCCTAGGAATGAAACATTGTCAATAGTCACTGCTCCACCAAGGCCTGAGTCCCTGCCTCCTAGAGCTACTGACCAGAGGAAGATGGCTATACTCAGCAGCTCACTGCCCACTTAGGGATTGCATCTGGCACCTCCTGAGCTTGCTGGCCTCCAGGAAGTTGAGGCAAAACAATGTTGGGGTGCTCCAGCAACAGCCTTATGCCACTGTTGCCTAGAATTAACTAGAGGGAGTAAGGGCTGGCAGGAAAGTGGCAAAGAAAAGACACAAAAACTGTGTACATATCCTGGGAAGCAGCTGGAACATAAACTGCTGACAGAAAAACCTGGTTTCAAATCATGGTTCCATTTCTTCCTTGCCATTTCTTCCTTACCACAGATAAACACTTAACTCTCTGAGCATCTTTTCTTTAAGTGCAAAGCAAGGCTATTAAACCCCATTCAAGGTATTCAGTGAGTCAACCCACAGAAAATATGGTACACAGGTGGTAAAGAACAGCAAACATGACTTCCAAAAGTATTAGGTGAGTCAGAGAATATAAAGGCCTTGGCAAAGCTTAAGACACTGTAGATATGACTTACATGCAGGGCAGATCCATCTCCCCCCATGTGGCCACACTGCCTGCTAAAAAATTAAAATGCTTTTGTACCAGTTGGTCGGTAGACACATCTCTAAACCCCATAGTGCCCCCCAAGAACCCAGGGTCCCTTGCATTGATCAGTGCCTAGACCATACTGGCAGTTGCATATTTGAATACTATCCTTGCTTATGGGTTCTAGGCTCTGCAGGTGTAGTCTGTGGTCCTGAAGCCTTGGAGAGAGTTTAGGTGAAGGTCAGGGATCTGGGATGATGTCCTCAAGACTGAAAATGGCAAGTGACTAGGTGCTAAGAGTCCTGTTTTCTGTCCTGCATTTCTGAAGTTCCTGGAACTCAGTTTATTCCAATCCCCAGGTCAAGTGGATGCAAGACACTTTTTCAAGTAAAGGTGAAGAGGCCTGAGCCAGGTACCCATGGAATTCAGGGTGTAACAAGATTCTCACCCAAGCCTAGAGGAAACACAGACTCTAACCTGAGACCATCATGTGACACTTCCCCCAGATTGAGTCTAATCACTGTCACTGTCTTCCCTGGCAGCGTTTCTCTACTATTTGATCAGTGCCCTGGGCATAACAGCGGGAGCTCATCGCCTGTGGAGTCACCGAACTTATAAAGCTCGGCTGCCCCTGCGACTCTTTTTGATCATTGCCAACACGATGGCGTTTCAGGTAAGAATTCACCTCTGTAGCTCTTTTCCTCCACTCTGTCGGCAATCCAGGGCAGAATGGAGGGGGTCAGGACCTAAGAGGAGCAACGGCTGGACAGCCACTTGCTTTCTCCTCTTTCCTTATTGCCACCTTAAGTCTAGGCCCTTAAGTTCATAAAGCATGAGGATATTTCTGAGTAACTGGAAAAGAGAAATAGGAGGGAACTAGGAAATACTTTCCTATATGATTTTTTTATCCAAAAGTCCCTCCCATTATCACATAATCTGGCTGTTGTGCTCTTGCATCCTAAGGAACCACAGTGCATAAGCCAGGAGTTAACTTTAGCTCCCAGGTAGGCATCCATCTTGCAGAACACACACACACACACACACACACACAGAGCACTGTTCTAAACACTTGATATTGATGACCTCATTTAATCCTCAGCAATCTTAGAAGGCAGGTACTTTATTATTGCTATTTTAAAGATGAGGAAACTGGGGGCCTCCCTGGTGACTTAGGGGTTAAGTCTCAGTGTTATCACCACTATAGCCTATGTTCCATCCCCTGCCAGGGAGCTGATGCACATGGCGCAGCAGACCTCTCTTGTCTCACCCGCTGCTTCCCTCAGCAGTGTATTTCAGTAGATCTGCTGTTTTTTGTTTTTTGTTTTTTTTAAGATTTATTTATTTATACAAGCACTGGGACTGCATACAGTCAGAAGCGTGGGAGGGTGAGAGAATTCACCAGAGCCAGAGTGGGGAACAGAACAGGCAGACTGATGAAATACACTGCTGAGGGAAGCCGTGGGTGTGGCAGGAGAGGTCTGCATGCCATGTGGGACCCTCGCCGGCAGCTGGGGTTTGAACCAGCGCTGCTGAGGCTGCAGGCAGCTTCGCAGCCCAGCGCTCAACCGCTGCGCCACCAGGGGAGGCCTCTAGATCCGCTGTTTTGCTCCCCACTCTGTCTCTGGTGAATCCTCTCACCCCTCCCCACCTCAGTTCTTCTGTGCATAAATAACTAAGTAAATAAATCTTTAAAAAATCTTTAAAAAAATAAAATAAAGATAAGGACACTTGTCACTGACAGGTTAGGTAGATCAACATTGTGGTCCTATCTTGGGCTGACCAGGCCAAGTCAAATTTTGAGGTTTGTTGAGGCAGAAAGTATGTAGCAGACATATGTGACGGGGGTTGGAAGAGGGAGCCCATAGTTATTAAGCAGTGGCAATGGGCTTAGCTTGGGGCCAGAAGTAGGCAGTCAAGTTGGTCCTCTTCTTCATGTCAGTATTCCAGATACTTACCATAGTTGCACCATAGTTGCATAACCACCTCTGCCTTAGCACTTTATACCTTGAAGACATTCTTGATGTCCTGCAGAACAAAGGGTAGGAAGAGATATTGGCACATTGTCTCAGGGATAGGGCGAGTCACAGAGGATCCCAGAGGTCATTTGGAACTGTGGCCAACATCTCCATTTACATGCTTGGTTTTGTTGAGTTGTACAAGCTGTCTTTTGCAGAGACATCAGCTTGGAAGCTCTCTGCTGGTTTCATCTACCAACTACACCCCAGGCATTCTCTGTGCCCAGGCATTTGGACATCCCACAAGGTCCGAATGTTTCTTCCTTGAAGAATTGCATTCTGCTTTTCTAATGTAACTATCCAAGCTCTGTATGATCTACCACCATCCTCCACACCATATAACCTTCAAGAAGCAATTAGTTCTATTCTGTGGAATAGATTCTGTGGTCCTGGGACTTTGAGTTGCTTTTCCACTTAGGTTTTAGTGGCAAGTTGGGGAAGAGAGGAGCCGACTCCATTACTTCTTTGGAGCTCTGACCCCTGGGTGTTTTCTGAGATTGGGCTAAGAGTCATGGTATCTTGCTGACTATCTATTGGGACTCCCCTAATCTAAGAGTGTGTCTCCTCAGACCTATGTTGCTATTCTCTATTCCCCTAGAATGACGTTTTTGAATGGGCCCGAGATCACCGTGTCCACCACAAGTTTTCAGAAACAGATGCTGATCCTCATAATTCCCGGCGTGGCTTTTTCTTTTCCCATGTGGGTTGGCTGCTTGTGCGCAAGCACCCTGCTGTCAAAGAGAAGGGTGGTTTGCTAGACTTGTCTGACCTAAAAGCGGAGAAACTGGTGATGTTTCAGAGGAGGTAAGTGATGTGATGATGGGGAGGGTTTGGGGAGGCTGGTGTTTAGGAATTTTTTCCAATGATATAAAGTATGAGCTAAATAAGAAACATCCTGGGTTTGCATATTCAAAATCATAACTTAGAACCCCAATTTTTAACAGCCTATAGCCTCACAGTTACAGACTGTCTTTCTTTCTTAGCTATTTTATTTAAACCAATCAAATTCAATATATGTTTATTGACCTAGGATATTCATGCATACAGAGATGAATGTGTCAGAGCTCTTACTTTGAATACTTCCATAGCTTGGGGGGGGGGTCATATATTTCCTAGCCAAATATATGATTAACAAGGTAAAATACTTCCCATACCATGAGAGGCACATAGGGGAGGGATACCGCGTGGAAGGGAACACCGGGGAAGGGTTTATGAAGAAAGTAGCTTTGGAATCTACCAGTGGAAGGAGATTTTCACAGGTGTATATGGGGAGGGGCAGTGCAAATAGTAAGACCAGAATGAGCTTAACCATGTTCCAGCAATAGAGTCCTTTTGTTTGAAGTATAGGGTGTGGTAGAAAAGAAGACCAGAAAGGGAGACTGATGCTGTTCTTAAAAGTACACTTAGGTTGAATTCAATAGACAACAGGAAAGCAGAGTGTTTTGAACAGAGCTGTGGTGTGGTTGGAGCTGTAATTTGGAAGGATCACTCCTGGGGCAGGTGAAAGGAGCCATGGAACCAAAGAGATGAGAGGCAGGACCAGGCGTTAGGAGGTAACGATCTCTGCCTGGTCGCGGTGGCAGGAATGGAAAGGAGTTGGGTGCAGGGAATACCAATGATGCCAGAGGGGAGACTTGGCTGCTGAAGGGATGTAGGCAATCAGCTCTCTTGGAACGGCAATGGCCGGGTCCGCATTCGAGAGAGTGAAAAGTGGGACAGGGCTTCCGGAGAGACAGACCTGTAGGCGGGCAAGGACACTCATTGTGCCTCTGAAGGAAAAGAAGAGCAAGGCCGAGAGGGTGGCTAGCAGGACTGGGAGGCCAGGCTCTCCACACACACTGCAGGCAAGAGAAAGGCACCCAGAGGCAGAATGCAAAAACTGCCGAAGGAGAGCTCTGATTATTGGTTTGGACTTTCCCTGTTTTCCCAACGTGGGAGTATGCTATCATTGAGAAAAGAGAGAGCAATGGATTTAGAATCAGGAGACAAGCCTTCCAGTCCTTGCTCCACCAGTTCCTAGTGGTTGGATCCTAGAAAAGTCATTTAACCCCTCACTAGCTCTCCTGAACGGTGAGGGAGTAACACTAACTCACAAAAGCTTCCCCACTCCATTGTGACTTGCTGTTTGCTGCCACACTGCACTCATAAGTTTCAGGGACAGAGACATCCAGTGGCAAATCAGGCAGGTCTCCGAGCCCTCTCTTTCCCGGACTCGGACTCAGCCTGTGACCTCTCACGCAGGTACTACAAATCCGCTGTCCTGCTGATGTGCTTCATCCTGCCCACGCTGGTGCCCTGCTATTTCTGGGATGAAAATTTTCTGAACAGTTTGTATGTGGCCACTTTCTTGCGTTACGCCATCGTGCTCAACGCCACCTGGCTGGTGAACAGCGCTGCCCACATGTACGGCTATCGCCCTTATGACAAGAACATCAATCCCCGAGAGAACATCCTGGTTTCACTGGGAGCTGTGGGTAAGTCAGTCTAAAAAGAATAGGTTCAAAACAACAATGTCTCTGAGTCCAGGTTCCAAAACAATCCCCAGATGTTATATGCAATAAGCCCCTTTGGGTTTTCCTTTTCTCAGTCACCTCTGGGCTGGACTGCAGCCCTGCTTATGTCAGGGGATATGTGTGTCAGTCATCTTGGTGGCCAAAAGCCTAGTGTTTCATATTTAAATATGCCATATAAAATGTAGAATTACTCATTAAGATTTGGTTCAGTAAACTTTTTATCTGCACACTCTTTTCAGATAGGCAATATTTGAAGTCTCTGCCAGGTTGCATTGCCTGGTGATGCCAATATGAAGGATGTCAAAGCCTGTACTACAGTGGCCTTTTACTGTCACCTATTTCTCTTCATTCAGTGTCATAGCCAGAGTCTAAGGCAACAGGGTCCTATCATCTGTCTCCATTTATTTATTGTCTTTCTTTTCAACTAAATAGAGATCTTGACTAAGTTTTCCCTAAGCAGACGCAGTGGCCTCTTCTTTCTCACCAGTCATGAGAACTGTGTCATCCAAGATACCTGGGTGGACTCGTTGCATGTGGATGCACACCTTGGTCTAGCCTGCGCTTTTTTTTTTTCTTCTCTGTAGCCTCAACCCTAACAGTCCGTACTTCCCGTGCCCCTGGCATTCTTTCCCTATCTCTTTAACTTGTACATCTCCTCCCTCCTCTGTGTTCTCATTCTGAGTGATGCTTGAAATAAATTACCTAGGCTATAGAAGCCTGAGCTTTTCATAGAAATGGAAGTTTCTGGAATGAGTTCTGTCCTGTACTGTAAATGGACCTAAAGTGAGGTTCTCCAGCTCCAGCCTCTATGACATCAGTTCAGGGTGGCTGCCAGCACCATACTTGGTCCTAGCATTCATTCTCTACACCTGCCACCCTCCTCACTCATCACCACACTCTGTCTTCTGTAGTTTGGTTTCCTGCCTTTTTTTTTTTTTAAGATGTTAAACTTTATTTTTTTAAATTAATTTATTTATTTATACAAGCACTGGGTACAGTCAGAAGTGCGGGAGGGTGAGAGGATTCACCAGAGCCAGAGCGGGGAGCAGAGCAGGCAGAAGGACCGAAGTACACTGCTGAGGGGAGCAGCGGGCGGCAGGAGAGGTCTGCGCGCCATGTGGGACCCTCACCTGGTGGCCGGGGATGGAACCGGCGCTGCAGAGGCTGCGGGCAGGTTCACAACCCAGCGTTTAACCGCTGTACCACAGAGGAGGCCCTTTCCTGCCTTTCTAATCTTTGTCTCCTTGAATTACCTCCCCTACGGTCACATGCTCTGCCAAGGTTGACCTCCTCCTTTGAGCCTCTCATGGGCTGTCTCTCACTGTCCCAGTTGCACCCATTGGCCCTCCCTTTTTTCTTCCTTGGGTATGGGTGTGTCTGATTCAGTTTTAAATCTGATTAAATATAGGCCTGGTTAGGTTATGCAGAGCCTGGCTGCAAAGCTATTTATGAAAATTAGTAATCCTCTCAGTCCTTCTAGCCTTGGGGTTACTCTGCCCTCCTACTCAGTTCACACTATGGGTAATCAGGCATCACAGAGAGAGGACATACCTGGAGATGCACCGGATGATGTCATTTACTCTGCAGGACTTCCTTCTCTCACTTGTTATTAATACCATTAGTCTTTGCTGGGGTCCTTTTATCTTCAAAGGGCTCAAGTGGATCTTTTATTAGTTATTATTAGTTATTTCTTGCCTGGCTTTATCACAGTCTCCTAAGGGTCATTGTTGATGTTATTGAATGTGTTCAGAAAGAAGCGTCCCGCCAAGGATTAGATAACTTGCTGTCTACAGAGGTTCCAAGACTTTCTGCATTACAGAAATTATCCTGACTCTGGAAGTTCTTTGCTTTTCCTCTGTCCAGCAAATGCACTGTATATCTCAGAATCTCAGGAGTTAGAGGGAAGATAGATGCATTTTGATTCTTATCCCCTCAGAGAGCTTCTGCTTTATCAGCATGTCCCCACACTGGGATCGAAGCTTAAAGAATTAGAAGCCAGAGCAGTCCACTCTGAATCCATGGTGACTAAGAAAGTCAGGCCCCTGGTTGAGCCTCCTTTCTTCTGCCTTTTGGCTATTAGTTACCATGCTCTACGAAACACAGCAGAAGTTCCTGTTCAGTATGTACATACACAGCCTTTAGGATTCTGGAATTTTCAAATCCATTCCAGTAGTAAGTTTCTCTTTAGTCATCTTATCCTCTGAAATTGCTGGTTCCCTTCCCACAAAGACTCCCAGCAAGCCGGGGTTGACCAGGGTCTTCCCAGTCATCTCTTAAGAGAGTTTTGAGATCTTTTGGTTCATAGTAGAAGAGACTGGCTTCATTCAACAACGGAAGTTTCTCCTCGGTCCCAGGTGCTTTCCTCGGCGTGGAGAGCAGGAGGCGGCGAGCCACAGTGTAGCTTCATAATGTTCTCCTTGCTTTTGTTTCAGGTGAGGGCTTCCATAACTACCACCATACCTTTCCCTATGACTACTCCGCCAGTGAGTACCGTTGGCACATCAACCTCACCACATTCTTCATCGATTGTATGGCTGCCATTGGCCTGGCTTATGACCGGAAGAAGGTATCCAAGGCTGCTGTCTTGGCCAGGATTAAGAGAACTGGAGATGGAATCTTCAAAAGTGGCTGAGTTTTGGGTCCTTTAGGGTCCTTTTCCAAAAGCCAGCCAGGCAGAGTTTTAATGTTCTGTTTATTAACTACTGAATAATGCTACCAGGATGCTAAAGATGATGTTAACCTATCCAGTACAGTATTCTTTTAAAATGCAAAAGTATTGAAAGCCAACAACTCTGCCTTCATGATGCTAAGCTGATATTCTTCTCTTTTAGTCCCATTGTCCTTTGTTTTATTCCTATCACCTTTCTTTCTCGTCCCCCTCACTGCCTCCCAGGCAAATAGCTAGTCAGTCATTGGTGGGTGTCCGGCTTCCAAAGCTTAGACAACCTTTCTGTAGTCCCAAGCAAGTGATTCTTGCCCCAGATAACTCTTTCCTTGAGCTGTTCTGAGCTTTAAGGTAGATGACTCAAGCTAGAGAAATGACAAATCTTTTCGGAAGGCCCCTGTTAATTACCTTCACACCAGCCTCTTGCCAAATGGGATGGAAATATAACCATTTGGAATGAAGCTTCTAAAACAGGTAAATTGCCAGGGGAGAGAGTTAGCATGCATGGTTTGATTGATAAGTAAGGATGGGATGAAGTGGGAAACAAGGCAGAAACCTCCCACTGTGATCAGACACACAACTGCCTGCATGGAAAGGACTTGAAGCCCTTCCCTCCCCCCCACACACACATGCTTCCTTTCTCTTCTCACCAAGTAAGGAGTGGCGATGGAGCTCAGCAGTGCTATAACAAACAAACAAAAAAGTCTCAAAGTCCCAATATCATTCAGGCTGCAGATAAAGTAGTATTGTTTGAAGTAACATTGGTCTATGCTGGGAAGGCCTGGGTTTTTTTTTGTTATTTTTGTCTGTTTGTTTATTTTGTTTTTTAAATGACAGGAAGATTTATTATTTCATATAACAAGAAGTCTTGAGTTTGGGTGTTTCCAGAATTGGCGAATCCAGTAGCATCTTTCTTTTCTGCCACCTTTGGGATGTTGATGCACTCCCCTCCTAGTAATAAGGTGGCTGCAGCATTTCCAGACAAGAAAGGAATGCATTGGTAGTGTGGTGGTGAACAGAGCTGCCTTCCAAAAAAGGAAGAATTTTAGGAGGTAGAGCTGGATCAGACATAAACATATATACATATATGCTTAGTTTGGAATATTAAAGTAATTCAGACTATTTCCCTCGGACACGAGGGGCTTAAAGAAATGGAAGGTGGGAAGGAGTTAGGTGGGTTGTTTACTTTCCCCTCACTGCTGGCCAGGAGATGGAGAGGTTGAGGGCAGCATCTGTAGGCAGTTCCTGAGCAATGGCTTTACAAAGGGGGCTCTGGGAATGCACTGCTGGGGCTTCAGAGGTCACAGCATAAGTTACTGGGTCTCCTAATATGTGAGCAGGTTATAAAAACAAGTTAGATGTTAAGAGTCCTTCATGAATTCCAGTTTCCCCTTGGAATTAGGAAGAGCTTCTCCCCGTAGTTTCAGCCCCTTTTGCTCATTCCTTCTGTGTTAACATCGAGCCGAAAGCATGGGCCGCTGCGGGGGAGCAAAGGGGAGCAAGGGCTCTCTTGACTACTCTGACCACTGATTCCTGACTCCACCCTAGATGTCCATTTCTCCTATTGATTCTCTCCCCTGATGTTTGCTTCTTCCTCTGGGCAGGTGGCCTCCTCTGTGTGTAAGCACAGCGCTGATGGCTAGTGCTGTCCAGGCAGCGGCCTCTCCTGCAGGCAGAATGCTCAGGTTCACTGAGCCACTGCTTCTCCTTACAAAGTTGAGCTGGCTGCCCCTTTCACTTGCCTTCAGAATCTCCACCTATACCCCTGGGCTCCCCTGCCACACTGATGACTCAAGACAAGGCTGGCAAACTCTACTAGCAACATCCTTGGCTCAGAGAGACACTCTCATGAGGCAGAGCCACGCCAAATCCTTGCGCCGTGCCAGTGAGTCAGTCATGGAGCACAAGAGGGTTTGTTTTCAGCTTCCTTTGTCTGAGCCAGAACCGGAGAGCATGCTGGATGCCTCCTGCCTGCTCAGTAAGCCTCTTGCCCAATCTGAGTCAGTGCTCCCAGCTGACAGTGCAATGTCAGTAGCAGTAAAGGGGAGCCTGGTCTTTGCTGGAAGCACAAGAAGCAAAGGCAGGTTCTAAGTGCCTCACTCAGTAGGAGGCCCCATTCCCGAGAACCAGGACATACTGCAAAGCTTTGGCTTGAGACTTAGGATCTGAGATGCCGTGAACTTTGCTGAATAGCATCTCTGTTTAGCAAACTAACCAGCCTTCCCTGCACCACAGCTTAGGGCTGACAGTAGTATAGAAGAGGTCTGAAAAACACCCTCGGCCTTTGGAGAACCTTGGATTGTTGCTGTCGCTGTACCTCGTTGTCAGTGCAGAAGCCTGGCTTTATTCCTACTGGAAATGTACGATATCAAATGCTCTGTCCGCTGTTGAGCCCAATGGTGGAAGGGAGCAGGGCCCTCCTTTATTAATTGAACAGATAGAGGGTTAGCCTGGACTAAAGTCAACCCTGTCTGGTAAGCTGTTCCTCTTGCTGGAAAAGAATCTAATGGAAGAATGCTATAGTTTCAATCTGCTGACCTGTGTGCCTACCCCTTGGAGATGTCTGTTGGGTGGTTTTAATTCCATGGGCCATCAGATGCCTGCTTTATAATTTATGATCAAAATAACTCTATCTTTCTATCCTAATGGTGTTCCATGGATCTGATCCATATCGTGACTGCTACACAAGGTTGAGGGGGGTCTTCGGGCTGCAGGTCTCAGTATGGATGTGGATGTGTTAGTTGGGGGGATTCTGTTGATTGAGGAACACTTTTTTCGAGATTCTAAGCTAAATTCAAATGACACATGAATGCTGATTTATTCTGAATTTCTAACAACAGTCCTTGCTTCGTGGGTGTGCTGACAACTTATTTGGGTGCCTTACATCTTTTCTAATCAGTGTTGCATATGAGCCTGCCCTCATCTCCTCCTCGCTCCCTCTGTGGAGTCCTTTGCACCTGAGAGCCTGCAGACATGGCTGGTAGACAAGGGGGCCTGGCTGGAGAATTATGGGGATGGCTTTGGCAGGATTCCCTTCTGGGCTTCATTTTGAAAACTTTTCTTAGGGCTGTTTTTTATTCAGTGCCCACAATGGATGGAGGGTGAAAGTAATTTGAATGTATTTGGTTTATAATTTCTTTAGATTAAAAGGTGGTTGTAGCATTAAAATGGAAACTTTTTCTCCTTGATTTGCTGGTATCCTGAGTGTAGTCTCTGTACGTGTAGATCAAATGGGTCAGGATGAAAGGTTCAAGAAAGCAAGTTGTCAATGTTAGTGGGTGGCTAAAGGCCAGGGCCTCTCCTACCACTGTGTCACTGACTTGCTACGTGACCCTGGGCAAGTCACTTAACTATAATGTGCCTCAGTTTTCCTTCTGTTAAAATGGGGATAATAATACTGACCTACCTCAAAGGGCAGTTTTGAGGCGTGACTAATGCTTTTTATAAAGCATTTTGGGATCCTTCAGCAGAGGAATTCTCTTAAGTCCTGAGTATTTTTATAGTAGCTGTGTCCACCGAGAATTGTGTCCACCATGAACCAAGTGTCTCAGCGGCTATCAGTCTATGTGGTTCTTCTCTCCAGGAGACTGAATTCATTGGATGACTGGTGGATAACTAGCCAAGCAAAATTTGAGAATGCATAAACTCATTGCCATGGAAACATGCACAGGATACCTTTTCCTTGACTGGGTGGGATTTTCCCCTTTTTATGTGGGACAGTAGTTGTTTGTGACCTAAAAATAATTTTGGAATAATTTCTATTAATATCAACTCTGAAGCTAGTTGTACTGATCTGAGATTGTGTTTGTTCATAATAAAAGTGAAGTGAATCTGATTGCAGTGTGTTTTTTGCTTGTGATTCAAAGTCTCCTGGGAGTTGCCTTTTAGGGTCCACAGCCTTAGCCACGCCCTGTCCCTATACCTTTAAGAGTAAAAAAGGAGTAGATGTTACAGTGGTTGACTCATGCCCCAGTAACAGGCCCAGCCCTTCCTAAGGGTAACTTTAGGTTAAACTCTGAGCCTTGGCGGCAGGAAACCAGGAGTCTGCTGCCATGAGGTCAAACACATTCACACCAGCTGGCACCTTGACCTGGAGAAATGCCAGGTCTTTTGTGTATCACATGGACCCAAGAGGGAGAGGCAGAGAGCAGCGTGAGAGGCACTCGGGGAAAGAGGGTCTTTACCTTGCAACCGGGCTGCACAGTCCAGGGCATTCCTGAGATGTCATCCCTCCAGGGAATGAAGTGGCTTCCCGAAATGCTGACTGGCCACAGCAGGAAAAAAAAAAAAGGAAAAACAATCCGAGGAAAGGCGTGTATTCCTAGGAGAGACGGGGCCTCGGGATCTTGAGGCAGCAAAGGCTTTGGCTTTTACTGCTTTATCAGAGACACCTGAGGTGGAAAAGGGAAGGCCGTTTGCAGCTCCACCTTCTAACAGGATCCACCTGCACAATATTTGGGCTTCTAGACTTCCCCAGAACCCACTCCCTCAATTTCTGATCTCAGATTGCCCTCACCTGGGACAAAAAGAGTCTCTTGGTAATTCCAAGCATCCAATTCAAATCTATGGTCATGGATGTCTTGTCCAACGTTAGAAACTTTAGTTGATTGTGTCATCATCTTTCTTCATATCTGGCTTCCCACGCCTTTTATTTTGTTTAAAATGTTCTGCTGGACAACTTTTTCATGGTTCTTTAACTTCCCTATTCTTTCCAAGTTCCTGCTTTGTTTCCTATTAACTGGCATCCAATGTAAACAATTTTTCTTCACTCTTCATTTCTTCCTGTTTTATGCCTGGCTGGCCTCCCTCGCGTTAAATATTGCTATGCTTTCTCCATAGCTACTTGTATCTTGTATATTTGTTATTTCAACATGGGGCTGTTTTCTTATTCTTATCTGCAACTATTCACTGAAAGAAGGGAGAAAGCTCTTACGAGTCTGATCCATATTTTCAGTTGTTTTTAAGATTGAGAGAGAAAGTGACTAAGTAATGAACCTGTGAAGGTGAGTTATTTTTTTTTAAAGATTTATTTATTTACGCATACAAGAACTGGGGTACAGGGGCCTCCCTGGTGGCGCAAGGGTTTAAGCACCGCACTATGAAGTGATCCGCAGCCTCTGCA